AAAAATATGCTAGTTTAGACCTTAATTTGCTTTCTAACCATAGATAGAAAACTAAAATAGGAATCAACAAACCTTTTATCATTAGGAATATGTAGATAAAAGCATCCGACTAAAGAGCTAAGAAGATAGAAATTTTTATTCCGATAGAATAATTATCCTTTGGACATACTTGATAATAAAACATCCATACTGAGGAATAAATATTCATGTGAAGATTATACGATCCTGTGATCGACCTTATTGTTGACGAGACATGTCGGCCAATCCGCTTAACATTAGCGGACTATAAAAATGCTTGTAAAGGCAGTGTAATAGAACTATCAGATGTGGCGGAACATATGACGGAGACTGCGTATGTGATAGGATGGTTTCGTATGCAAAGGTTTGCTGATTATGGTATGTCTACTACTAAACGCAAGATAAGGAAATACATTGAATAAGAAGAATGATGGTAGAAGTTTGAGTAAGAATTACTAATGCTTGATAGAAAATTTGAAAAAGAGAAAAGGGGGTTGAGAAGCTGTTCAAAAGAATACGACTCAATTTGTCAGCTGACTGATGGTTCTAACCGAATTAACACTTTTTTAACAGACATGTCATACTAATCAGCCAAAACAGATATGTGGGGCTACGCAATCCGAGCCAAACTTCTCCTTGGGTCATTAAGCCTTGATGACCCGGGCTCAATTTTAAGTTTTTTATAATTACTCTGAGTTATAGCCGGTTTTGCGTACACACGTTAATATAAATACGCACGCAGACACTATAGTATATGTGAATTTAGCGAACCTTTCTATATCTATTTATGTCCTAAATTTTGCCCGAAATGAATTCATATATAATATAGAAAAAAACAGGTTAGTCCTCTTGACTTAGTGTTAATTTGAGGCTTTTACAAGAATGAATTCCATTTTTGACTATGTTCGTCAGATGATGAACAAAAGCTCAGCCCGTCTTCTCCCGACACGTTGGAGGATGTCTTGGGGATTATATCACCCTGAACGTCGTATTACTCCAAACCGGCTGCAGTATAACACGAATCAGCCAACGTCTTCTGGTTGGACAATAATCGCTTTATCATGTACTTCCATACGAAATTAAACTATGTACATTACTATTTGAGGTTTCATGAAGCCCTTTTTAATTTAAGGAGCGAATTCTGTTTCCAGCCGTAACAGACTAACTAGTAGTAGCCCAAATTTTTGGCGTTAGTAAATTGATTGAAACCAAGATTTTTCTGATTTTAAAGACTTATATTGAGTCATAAAATCCTAGAATTATTAGAATATAAATTAAATAAAAAGTAAAAGATTGGAATACTGAATAGTTTTCGTAGAAATTTATGGTTTTTGATCGTAATTAGGCAAAAGTGATGATTAGAATATATTCTAGTCTGGTTGCAAAACCATTTTAAAGTAAATTGTGATGAAGTCTACTAATTTCTTTATGGCTAACTAAACTATAAGTCCTTTACTCACCCTATACAGACTATGCTGTTCCTCTTTCATGTTCAAGGTCAAACTAAAATGTTCTGAAACTACATACTTGCTTTAGAAAAATAGAGAGCTGTTCTGATCAAAGAGTATGGCTAAATACTCCGTATCTATCTCTTACACTCAACCTCATAAAGTATTACATCAATATAGTGATGTCTTTCTCTACACAAAGCTTTTTGGTACGGCAGTGAGAGAGCAATAAACATCTCAAATGGCCGCTTTCATAGCTTAGTACCGTGATTCCAAAACTGTGTGCTGCAGCACTTTTGGGAACCGCGGCCTCTTTACAGGGGCGCCGCGAAATATTGTAAAAGCTTCAATTTGAGAAAATATGCAGTCATTTTCAGGCTCATCCATCACATTAATTATTAAATATTAATTTAATGTTAATAAAAGTAAATAAAACAATGAAGATACACGAGTTTTATTTATTTTTATTTTTTAATTACGAATAGTCATATTAGGGTAGGGCGCCATGGAGCAACTTTAATTGAAAAAGGGCGCCGCAACTAGGAAACGTTTGGGAACCACTGGTTTACTATACTTTCAGATATCATTTATAATTTGCAGGTCGTTTATGACTTGCTAACTGCAAAAAAATTCTCAAATAAATTTTATCTTTTATTCTTTCTCAATTCTTAGATATATTTATTATTTTAGGGCTATGCCGGACAAATCGGAGCCAGAGGCGAACTCGGTCCAGATGCCATTTTGATACATGTAAAAGGTGATCCTGGAGAGCCGGGCATGAAGGGTGAGAGTGGTATCCCATGCTTGACGGAGAGGAATTTTACGCATAGCGAATTGGCGCGCATGCAACAAGGAAAACAAGGACAGCAAGTAAATATTTGATGATATTCTCAGCCTCTGAGAATGATTTCAATAACTAGTTAATAGCCTCAAATTATTGACTATGAAATAAAGTATTTGCTTTACAAAGGATTCGCCTAAGCACTGTCAGTTTAATCATTTATAATGCAGTATGACAACAGGAAAGAATTATACAGAATTCCCAGTTGACCTTAACACAATAGTCTATACGATTTATAAAAAATCTGAGAAGTCTGTGGGCGATCTTTATAAGAAATGGATCCAGCTGTGGTTTCCGCTCCAAATTAACCCATGCTTGATAGTGATGTGATATATCTCGTAAAATTTATTTTAATTTAAAATCTGAAATAATATTTACATTTATCTTATTAATTTTCATACAATGCTAAAACGTCTCAATTTCGAAACTTAATTAGTATTTTGAGTTTATACTTCCCCCTTTAACTGTATTTCAAATATTATGCTTTCAGGGCATTGAGGGAGATCCTGGCGAAAGAGGTAGGAAAGGTGATGAAGGAGAAATGGTAAGTCTTAATTATTTTTATTATTTCGTCTTAGTATATAATTTCCATAATAAAAAAGTGATTCCGGGTTGTGCATTATTATATTTTATTATTTTTATTGAGGATATAATTTTAGATTATCCCTTCTTATCACATTTATAGAATGTATTTTAAATAGAAAATTGCATATGCTTATTATAAGTAAGAATACTGGAATACAAGAGTAAACTAATTAGGGGATAATATTTTTAGCGGTTTATTAACCTTTACATATTCTACAAGCTTAAATGCTTTTATCTAATTTTTCATTTTTATTTCAGGGAGAATTTGGCAAGCCTGGTTTAAAAGGTGAAAAGGGTTTTCAAGGAAATCCTGGTCCAGATGTAAGGCATACGTTTTAAGGAGAGATTGCTGATATAGGGATAATATTTTAAAGTTTTTTATTTTTTATTCTCTAATGATTTTTGTCATTATTTATTTAGCGAATTACGACACATGTTCAATCTCCATATTGAGTCGTTTTAAGATTTACTCTATGAAATTATAAAAATAAACGTAAATAAGAAGGCTGAAGGTTCTGATTCTAGAACCAAGTTGTGCTTTTGAGTTAAGAAATCATATCAATTATACTCTACTATCAAAATACTCTTGCAGTTTAATGCGATCATAGATAAGAGACTAATAAAATGCTACTCACATGGATTTTCACAGGCTATTGCCTGACCTTTTATACTGAAATTATTACATGTGGTAATTTTTGAAGTAAATCCGTATGACTATTTTTGGTCGATAAATTTAGATTGAATCAACAAGCTTAGGAGCTTTAAATATGAATACCATAAAGAAAACTACAACTGCTGGTCATTACTGAATATTTATATTTAATAGTTATTGAAAAAACAAGGTATGGCGCTCAAGTAACAGTAGGTTCCCAAAACCATTAGTTCAAGCGAATATGCACTTGTTGTTTTGCTGGAATTCTTTATCGCAGTCATATTAACAATAGTCTCGTTAGATCGAAGATATGAAGACCAAGATGGTGTGGCCTTTTGTGTGGTCGTAGTCTCCTTTCGTTGTATAGAACTTGTTTGAGCTTGTTTTCGCAACTTGGTCACATTGGTATGAAGACTTAGAGGAAAGTACCTAGTTCGAAGTCCATTTTATGCATGATTATTTACAAAGTTGGACCGCGT